TTTTTTCCCCCCCCCCCCCCCCCCCCCCCCCCCCCCCAAAAAAAAAAAAAAAAAAAAAAAAGACAATGAAGGGGAAGTTTAGAAAGATTAAGGACATGTGTTATGTGGAAGGATAGAAGTTTGTAATCAGAGAACAGATGAGGTGACCACCCTTATGAATGGCAACTCTGGAATAAATACAGAGTTTTCTGGACCTGAGGAAATTAAGGAACTATAAAGTTATGGGCTGTGTTGATGCTGAATTCACTAAAGGTAATGGCAGAAGATGGAGGTGGAGATGGAGGAAAGTAGGCCAGTCTTCTCCTTTCCTAGCTCTCTCTTAGGATAAATTAAGTAATTTTGCACAGATAAATAAAGATATAAGACCTGCAAGACACACTCTTCTACTTATATGTGCACAGCCACTCACCCCCCCACCTCCCACATACTCCCCTCCACACAAACTTATTGTAGTATCTGAAGTATATGAGATGATCACATGACAAAAATAATTAAACACTCATTGTAGACAAATGACCAAAATTAACCATGGTTGAGAGTTATGGAATGATTAGAACACATAATTATTTTCTGCTGATTGTAAAACAGGAAATATTTACAGGCATCTGAAATATTTAAACAGGAAGAAAAAAATTCTAGTTTTGCTTTGATGTCTCAGATTTTGGGTGGCATTTTCAGGGGAGTTCTGGAAGAAGTTGTTATCATTATTCCAGTTCATAGTGATACCTAAAATTGTGTATGGTTAGAATTTCTTTGTGCTCTGATAATCAACTTGCTGTAGAGTACCATAGAAAGGAACATAGTCTTGCTGCTTTTTGCAAAGATGCAAAATATACCCAAAATATAGTATTTTACAAGGAAGCTTTTATAAAAAGACTAGAAAGGCTTTCACTAAGAAATCCTTTAAATCTTCAACAGTAGATAATGCAATTCCCTTTTTATAGATTTACTTATATCTCTCCTGAATCAGAAGATGATATTGGGGGAAAATTGCTTTTCCAATGTTATAGTAATATAATTTTTTCTGTAACTTTCAAATAATTGTCTGTGAAATCACTTTGGATTATTATTTCAGAAACTTTGCCTTGACAGCAAAATCATAAATATTTTCCTCCATGTCAAACATTTTAGGTGACAGTTGGATTCACCTAGTACATTTTTTTTCCCTCTGCAATCTCAAATATTACACACATCAGTCCTTTTCACAGTCGTGGCTTAATAAACAATTGGAGAGCAAAGTGATTTCTTGCAAAGACAATGGCTCATCTTCAATTTTTTTCTTTTCAAATTTAACAGTGTTGTTCAGTGTACTTTTATACTACATTGTTAATGAAAGTTTACCTATGGTGTAAAAATAGACACAAAAGACAGTGAGTTGATTGGAGAAGTGACCTTTAACATTTGAAATTTGGGGAAGCAGTAACTTTCTTCTGAATGGTGCATGCTACCCAAAGGCTTGGAGCTTGCTAATACCACAGTCCCTGAATTCCACTGGGGAAAAGGTTTCTACAGTAACAATAACAATCATCATTTAATGAGGGATTATTACTTACCAGACCAGGTACTGAGTGAGTTAAATCAGTAATTACATTTTGTTCCCCCATTAATCTTATGTAAATTCTGTTAATCTTCCCTTTACAGATGAGGAAACTGAGGCTCAGAGATTACATAATATGCTCAAAGTTACAAAACCGGTAAGGGCAGAGCCAACACTTGGAGGCAGGTTTTTGTTCCTAATCACTTTGGCTTAATTACATTGTTGATACCACTGTGTTACTATTATTCATTACAGCTGGAAGAAGCATGATAATAAAAACAATTTATTGTGACCTGTATACTTATAAATTTATGACTAAACCAAGCGTTTGCATAGTTTTAAAAAATCTCTATAAGTGGTATTAATTTATAGGTAACATTCTGCAATGTGTTTTCTTTGCTCATCACAGTTCTAATTATTCATGTTAATTGTTATATAATATTCTATTCTATATTCTTGGACCCTTCTTTCCTATAAATTTTATGATAAGGTTATTAAGTACCTG